ATCCAATTATCTAAAAGTATATGTATTATCTAAATTTTAATATCTTTTACAAATATTCTCCAATAAAGTTGTAACATTTATTCTGGGATAAATATTTTCCCAGATTACAATAGGAAAGATTAAATTATAAATTCAAGTTAAAATAATTCACTTTTAAATAATCCTTATTAAATTTATTTATAAAAAAGAAATGTGTTATACTTCTTTAGATAGAAATATTTACATATTTGATATATTTTATATAAAGTTATATATCAAATTATATTATTTTATTCTATAACAGAAATTAATAATAGAATAGAATAAAATAATATGAAAGAAAATATAAAATCAAAAAATTATAATTAATTACGAAATTAGGTGATCAGATATTTTTGTGATCGATATGTTATAGTTTCAAAATCAAATTTTTTCTTTTTTCAAATTGAATTCAATCAGAAAAATTGAAAAAGAGTGAAATATGTATGTTCAAAGAGAAGAATATGAAAATATTTCATAGATGTACAAGAATTAAATTGAAAAGACATAATATTATCTAGAAGTGTCTACGTAAAGAGAACTTTACGATTCAAAAAGAAAGAAAATTCAAGATTCAAATACATTTTTCAAGATTTCTTTCATCGAATTGCATACGAGGATTAACTCCTACGTGCAAAATACAGAGAAGAAGAAACAAACGTTTCGTCATTCCATCGAGGCGGATTTACTTAATACAATGTCTGAACTCGGGTGTGAAATTTAAAATCGCGGTCGTCAAGCATTGACCTGATACTTGTGTATAAATGCCGCTTTGTCAATGGAGTTTTATATAAACTGATGATCTCAGACAAATTTCTCGATGTGTTACAGGGCGTGACACGTTTCATTTCTTTCACAATGTGCATGTCATGGTGACATATTTTCTTTGGATTTCTGTTGTTCGCACGTATATTCCACGGAAGAAACAATTTTCAAGCAACGTACTTTTATTTTTCAATGTGTTATTTTATCCAAAATATTATTTAGATATCATTGTTCGTATGAATCATTTATTATAGCTTATGAATATATAAAGAATTTCTGGTTAAAAATAATATTAATAACCGATTTCAACAATTCAGAAACTTATTTTTATCGAAAGAGAGAGTTTTGTTATATTTTTATATTTCATCTTTCAATTATTTATTCCATTTGATGAATATTTTATAATTTTATCGGTTATACTATTCTAAATTATATTTTTAGTTATTTAATTTTAATTTAATCACTATTAATAGTAATTTTATTTGGATCTTTATGACATCACTAATTTTGGTATTCGGTTACTAGTGATCCCTAGGATGCTAAACTATTAAAAATCTCTAGAACAGTATACTAACATATTTATAATTCTATCATTTGTGTAGGAATAAAATTCTTTATTTAATCTCAATAATTCAAAATGATCAAAAAATGAATTGAAGTAATTAATTAATTTCCATAAATAACTATAATCGAATTATCCAACAAAACTGGTGGAATCCATTAAAACATTCTGAATATATCATTCTTTCCTTTTTGTTCCGCGCATTTTGTGCACTTCTATAATGCATCCGCAGCAAATTTCTCATCGAGCTCCTAGATTTATCCTCTTTTTGAGCTTGTTTTCCCGTGCACGAAGCCGTATTCTCCGTTTCGAATCGGATCGACGCCATTATATTTCCGTTTCACGTAGAATCGGTGGCGGGAATGGTACGCGATCTCCGTTAGAATGAGTTAGAGTCAGGGACTGACCTATCCCATGTTGAACGACCTCGACGAACTCTGAAGGCCAATGCACCGTAATTCATAACTTTATCAGACGTTCCTGGTTACGTTGGTAAAGAGTGATGTGCCATCCAATCATGATGTTCGATTCTCGTTTACCAATGATTGAAATTAATCTATTTGAGATGGATTTATATTTTTAACAAATGAATGCAATAACAATGAATGTATCTATTGTATCTATCGTTTATTAAAAGAAAGTTAATTTAAAAGAAAAAAGAAACAATAGATTAAGTGTAATGTTTAAATTGAAATTTTCAATCTTCATTATTTTTTATATGTATTATAATATTAATAGAGAAATTATATCTATATGATGGTAGTCTTTATAATGTATAATTATTTTGACGATGTATATTGATTTTTCCACTTGAAAGGATTAAACAGATAACGAGAAAATTAAATTTCCGCTCTTTGCTTTAATATTGTTTGGGCTTGCATTGTTTACTTCATGCATTCATACTTATTCAATAGGAAAATAGAACATGGTAAGTTTGATTAATATTAAGAATATGTAAATGATAAATTAATTAAATTATAAATTTTTCAAACTGATGGTTTTCGTTTAAAGATTTAGATACTGCAAATGATTTATTAAAAATATAAGAATTATGAAAGGAAAATTATACATTAGATGTATAAAGTTAATATGATTTCATTTAATTTTTCTCAATGATGGAACATATATATTTTTATCGGATTTAATATAAATCGTTTTTAATGATAAAGATAAAATGATATATATTTTAAAAATCGCGCTACTCTTTTAATGGAAAATTAAATCAGACATAAGAAATTAATTTTAAAAAGAACATTAGCAAATTGTTAGAACTTTACAATAATTTTTAGACATAGAATAGAAATTATACGAGAATAAAATATTTTCTTCAGAAGAAGCTAAATGGTATATCTTATACATATAATTAGGATAAATTATTCTTTCCTTTTTTCGTTTATTATAATATCATTTATTACAATCGAACAATACATCTTTTATTTTAACAAAATATCAGTTTTGGATCGGTTAACAATCGCGTAACAATATCACATTTAATCCGGAAAGAAAAAAATATTTTTAGAGAAAATAAACACGTGAAAAAATAAACAAGGTAGAAAAATATCGAGAGGGGCATGCAAAAGGATAATAGTCGCTAGATTACGCCGATTTACCGGATTCCAAACGATGTTACTGTCGACGTTAATGCGATCGTTAAAAAAGATAAAAGTACAAGTGTGTATTTTTTCTCGAATGGAACCACGTTTTGAACTCAATGGAAAATTCGATACGAGATATGTAGAGAGAAATACACTACGTGTACAATGTACGTGCACGAGTTTATCAGAAAATATTGCACGAAATAAAAAGTAATATTAGAAAGTTTCGAAAATTGAGATTGCCCTTGCAAAAAAAAAAACAATTGCTGGTAATTAAAGCAACGACTATACTAATAAAAGTAGTACATAAAAACATAGAAAAAATGTGACAAGAATTGGAAACTTCATCTTAGCAATATAAAACGAAAATTCCACTATTACATTAATCGAGTAAATGAAGTTTCTCAAATCTCAGTATTACATTCAACATGAATCAAATATCGCATCTGATATTATTAGACATAGTTACAATTGTACGCAATACGATTCCAATTTTATAAAGATACAACTAAGACCATAGACCTCATAGTTGTATGTCTAATATGATCTTAAACGCGAGACTAAATCCGACATGGCAGATGCATTAGAACCATGCTTAACATGACCCAGGTTCAGTAGAACCTGATTGTAGAACATGACTATCGACCCGTCGGATTATCCTCGTGAGGTCAATCATTAGGGACCTTATAGAACTTTGACAGTCAGGGCTTTGATCTTACAGACACGGTCTCGTAGTGGATGTCATCACTTTGGATACGATCTTTTGAATCCAGGATATATATATATATA